GCAGAGCGTCTGGGGTGGGCAGGGCTCTGATCTCACTGGTGCCTTTTTTGCAGGCACTGGAGCAGAAGCTGGCGGAGGCCTGGAGGAAAGAACATGTTCTCCAACACCGGCTGGCCCAGCTAGAAGAGGAAAACCACAAGCTCCTGGCACAGCTGGCGGAGAGCCAGTCCCAGGAAGGTAGGTGTCCCTGGGGAAGCTGTTGCTGAATCCCTGCCAGCTTCTGAGTGCCGGGAAGTTCACTCAGTGAGGCTAGGCTGCAGTGTATCTGGCTTACAGCCCACTGTCATCCTTGGGATGCTCTGCTTATATCTGGAGGAATAAACCTTTATTCTGATATCTGAGCACGTGCACATTCTATGTAATACCACCACCCTGTCTCTGAGGCATCTCACTTGATGAGACTGGGGGACTGAGGCCCAGGGTAAGGCTGTATATACTAGGGACCTCAGTTCAGCTGCACAGGTGTAAGCACTGTAGAGCTCTGAACTAGGCAGTGTGTGGTAGCTTCTAGTACGTTTAATTAGAAGCTTTGTTTATATTGGGGCTCCCAGAGGTGCTAGTAGAGTGTGATGATTTCCCCCCCAGGGTGCCATCTGGTGCCCCACTTCCCCAGCCCAACAGCCTAGGTTCCCACACTCACTGTACTGCTGTGATAAGCTGCTGTGCCCTCCAGCCTGCACTTTTGCCAGCGTGCATACAGTAGAAGGACACCCAGCTGCAGTTACATGCAGGCTCTCTGAGCAGCCTCTGCATAGGAATGCTACAGCTAAGGCAACAGCCAGCTTTTCAGACACAAAGCCGCTCTGAAGTATGAACCCACAAGGACATTGGCTTGCTCTGCACAGGGCAAGCTCATAGAATTCCCTCTCTCCCTCAGGGCAGTGGCATCTGCAGCAGTCTTTTGCCCCCAAGTTATGATTCCCACACTCTGCTTTAGGTAAAGCAAAACCAAGTTTATTAACTGCAGAAGATCAAAGCAGATTACCTAGCAAATAAACCAAAAACACAAACTAAATTTAAAAATGTTTCCAGGCGTTGTCTTGTGTGGGGTGCAGAGAACAACCAGATGATGTCACTCCATATATGTTTTTGCATGTGGTGGCAACCCTTTGTTTTAAAGCTTGGTTCCCAGACCAGTCTGTGGAGAAATACTGATATCCCAAGGTGGAGTCAACAGACATGTGGTCACATCATATGTCTTTGTGGGGTCATAGCAGCCATTTATAGTTTCTGTTTTGGAATTTTACACTTATCCATACTAGTTTGTTTCAGTTGCATCTTTCAGTGTCAGTGGTTGATTGTATTTCCTTTGGTAAAGCACCTTTCATGTGATCAGGGAGTCTAGTAATTGAGTAAGACTCTAAACTAAGAATTTGAACTAACCAACTTCTAAAATTATAAGTTAAAAGAAGAAGTAGAGTAATAGTACAAGAGGAAGCAGCCACCTGTATGATCTAACAGAGGGCTTCCTTCTCTATTGCCACATGCTTGAAACTTAGAGTCCCGGGGATGGTGGTTTGACGGACCAGGCAGGTCTGGGCACAGCTGAGAGCGTCGGCTCAGGGCAAATTGCTCAAATTTGGGGCTCCTTACAGCCCCCAGAATGGAGACCTTCCCAAACAGGCCACAAACCAGTCCCACATAGCGCTTCAGCTGCCTGCCTGAAGCCTCATGAGCAAAACCCCTCTGAGACACCAGCAATATCTGTGTCCCAGATGGCCCTGAACCTCATACACAGGTGAGGGGGTCTTAGAACCCAATCTCACCTACCCCGAACAAGTTCTGTCTGGTTCCAAAAAACCAGCCACAGATCCCAGGTCAATTTACCCTCTGGACCTTACCCACAAGCCACGCTGAGCCAACCCTTTAGAATCTACCATCTAAAGAGTTTATTACTATGAGAACGAAAAGCACGAGAATGAGGTTGTTAAAGTATCATACGTTACATGCATCGAATCGCCCAGTTCTCGATGCAGGCTCTAGCAGAGATGTTATAGCTGCTGGATTAAAAGTCCTTGTTGCACATCCTAGGTCAGGATGGGTCCACAGGTCTTCCTGGCTCGTGATCCCCTGCAAGGCTGCATCTGGTGTCAGGAGCAGATCTAAGTCCAGCACAGAGTCGACCACATGGCCTGTTTATACCTCCTCCCTGATTTCTTCCAAGCTGGAGGGAGTCACATGGCCAGTGGCCAGGTGTGTCTTTGGCCTTCAGAGGCCCATTGTTCCCTGGAGCTTCGCTCATTAGCATGTCCATAGGCAATAATTCCTAGCCCATTATTCAAGCACATTCAGAGAGATTCCAGTCTCCATACAGAGTACAGACCCCTAACTCCACACACAGACATTATACAGATCTATGAAGAGCAGATACAGAATCAGAAGAAAGTAGCTTTTGTTTGACCCCTCACATGGCCCCTTTGTACCACTTTTGGGGCAAACACCCCCCATGGATGCAGCAGTGACCCGGCTGCTCCCCTCACAATCCCATAACGTGACAGGTGGTTGTTACTACCAAATTGGAACTTGTGAAAGCTAATTGGATTAGTATCCCACTATGCCTGAATGCACAGTAAGAGATGGTTCCTGCTCCAAAGAGTTTACATCTTACAGAAGTAATAAATGTGTTTAAAGAAAGAGAGGACAAGGGTTACTAAGAGGGAGAAGTTGTGTGGGCTGGCTGCATACATAGCTGTCAAGCTTAACAGAAGTAAGCAAGAGGCCTTAGTGATGTCATCCCTGATGTTCACTACTTGGTTAGGATGAGGAGGAGTTGGCAATGTGACATGGCAGAAGAACAGTGAGTGTTGTGTGAGGAGGAGGGGATGGTCCTGCTCTGCACCGCCAGGTAGTGAGTAGAAGGGCATGGGCTCGTGTCAGAAAAAGATGGAGGTTGAGAGAGAATAGGCTAGGAGAGAAGCAGCTCTTAGGAGTTAGGTCTGTGCAACATGGAGATGCACGAAGGCTGCATTCAGGATGGTGGTTGAGGGTAGTGCAAGGAGCAATGGGAGGAAATAAGGGGGAAACATTCGGATAATGTCAACAAGGTGTATACCGGGTGAGGGGGTGATCGGAGAGTCTGGGAGGGCTGGATTCTGTAAATTGGTTATTTAACCGGGCAATGCCAATAACGTCAGCTCCCGAAGGGGAGGTGGAAGAAGTTGCTGAGGCTGTGGTCACAGCTTAGTTGTCATTTCACAGTGGGGCTTGAGTAAAAAATGTGACTTCTGCCTTCACTGGATGGTGATGCATGGTGTGGGAGCAGTTTGGCTCCTCATAGGGATGAGATGAGGGAATGGGGTAAGGGTGCTTTGGCTTGTTAGGCAGGGGCAGTAAGATGAAATGACCTTAATTGTCCCTTCTGGCCATAATCTGAGTTATTCTAGCAGCAGATACTACTGCCTCACCTTCAGCAGAGGACCTTGCAAACCTAGCTAGCTCCGGCACTAGGGTTAGCCACATTGGGAGCCCCAGCATGGATGGTTCTGGCTGCAGGAGCCATTCTTAGCAATTTGTCATCTAACCCTATTGGCAGCCTGTCTAGCAGGTGCTACATAAAATGTCTGTGGAAGGCAGGAGCCCATTTACTCGAGAGCTCCCAGCATTGCAAACATCAGTGCAGCTGAGACCATGTTGGCAGTGATGCAGAAGGGGGAGTTCTGTGACCCTCACTCGAGTAGCCCAGTCTGTGAGCGTGTAGCTGAGCAGGAGAGCAGAGATGCTACTGATGCATGTTCTCTTGGTGTTGGGTTTTAGACAGCACTTTTCGGAAGGAGAGAGAAGTGATGCTGCGGTTGAAAGAGGTGGTGGACAAGCAGAGGGATGAGATTCGTGCCCAGGCCCACGAGATAGTCCGCAAGAACCATGACACAGAGGCGGTAAGAGGCAGGGTGCCTGTGGCTTACTCCAGTGCTGTGAGGGTGGGGGAGCCATGCTGTGTGATCTGTTCTTGCACATTCCTTTGTCCTCCTGTAACACGTGCCAAGGTATTTGCTATAGAAGCAGGTTGTTTTTACATAGATCTTTGTACCCTTCTTAGCACTGTAGTATTGGGGCACCTATACGTGCCATGCTGCCATTCCTGGGAATGACTTGTGGCTTTGTGTGTCACTGCGAGAGAACAGAACCTGCAGCTGTATGCACAGTTGTCTCATGCTTGGCTGTGTCTGGTTTCTCAGCTGCAGGAGCAGTTAAATCGTTTCATGTCCATGAATGAGGATCTGCGCCATAAGCTGGCTGTGGTCCAGGCTCAGCTCAAGAGTGCTCTGGAAAAGAAAGAGGATTTGGAGACCATGGTGTTGGAAAATCGGAGGGAAATAGACAGACTGGCCAGAACTGCATCTGCCGCATCCCCTGGGCTCAGTATGGTGAGTCAGAGAGCTGCAGTATCCATTCTACAGGGAGTGTCTAAACTCACCACTGCACAAGGCTGCAACAGGTCACAAATGGGTCAGGATTAGGGATGTGAATAACTAGTTGACTATCCAATAAGAAAATGCTTATTGGATAGTCAACTAATCACCCCCCCCCCACCCCCCCCCCGCCCCCCTCCCCGAAACGGGGGG